GGCATTGTAAAGCTATTACTAGCCACGAATATTCTAATTACTAGCCGGCATAATGGCCGCTAGCAGGTTGCGCTATTTCCTCGTGCTTGACATGTACTTTGATTAATTCTCCAGGCTGATTGTGAGATGGCTGATCTCAGGACCTTAGCCCGATTCGTTACTATGATCACGGGTGCTATTGTGCTTTGAAGTTCTGCGAGGCATCTCTAGGACGGCGTTGTGTCCCAATACCTGGATGATTGTGGTTGATCTAATCTCTAACAGGGTTCAAGCTGATCATACTGTTTCGAAGTGTGCATAAAATGTGTGATTCAAGACAGTTTTCAACACAAATCATGCGGTAGGAATACCGACATCAGCGGCTTTTTCCAGTCCCTCCTCAACCGATTGTTGTACCAGCACGGCAACATCACGGGGCATGCTCAAAAAAGGCGAATGAGAAGAGTCCAGGGTCCGGGTCGTAACGGATTCCATTGTGGCGATCATGTTCTCCTGCATCTCCAGTGACAGAGCTTGGTCCTGCTTAGCTTTGATATACGTGCATGGAATATACTTCCACGGCTCGTAAGTGTTAGGTACTTGAGAACACCCCGCTGTTATGGGGAGGAGCTGAGAGATCCAGTAATCCTGAACGTCGCTGGGGAGATCATTGTAGAAGAGGTTGGCCGGATCGCTGATGGTCGGATTGTTGGCATAGATAAGATCACCCTGGTCCACCAACTATTTAGTATCGTTCACGCAGAATGACTCAATTGACTTGACAGAACCGACCTTAATCTCCCAGAAGGAAGGGGCGACTCCACCGAAATAACCGAGAAGAGTTTGGCCTTTAGGGATGACAAAGGCTGCAAGGTACACGAGCATAACAATCCCACCTGGCTTGCCAGCCGCACGTCGCTCGGCGACGCCCAACCCTTCAGATGCGCCCGAGGTAACTGCACCTCCATAAGAGTGAGCTACTACAGTCACGTAATGGCCGTTATCCGCGAGTTCCTCGATGACGGCGTGCAGACTCGCTCTGTCATCCACCATGGTCTTCAGCGGGTGTGAGGTGTTGCCAATGGACGGGTGAGCAACTGTGATGGCGTTGAGCCCCCGGTTTGTCAGTTCATCCTGCAGCTGACGCATGCAGGACGGCTGATGCCAGGCACCAGGGACAAGGACAACAGTGGAAGGGGGCCATGATGGAGATTAGACTGCTTGATATTGAGGAGGGGAAAGCGAGGAAGCAAACTTTGCAACAAATGGGCGAAGCGGGGTAATCAGGACCAAAGCCAATTTAACCCGAATTATGAGTTTTGAATGGCTGGGTCATCCCGACTTGCCTCTCCACATCATGGCACTAGCATTGTGGTCGGTATTGCGGCTATCCACGCACTAGTCCTGCGATTCCAACCGAGGATGGAAATGACTTATTATACTGATTCTCATTATAGGAAGCCTTGTCAGACCATGAGAAAATGGCATATTATGTGTATATGTACGCAAGGATTAGCAAAATGCGGACGATACTACTGATAAGATGGTGCTGGTGAGAGGAGAGGCGGATATACTTTTTAGGGCCCTTCCGAGGCTTGCATGAAACCATGGATGCCTGCATGCCTGGCACTTGCAGGGCGCCTTTCCCTTTCGGGTCCGCGGCGAGCCGATCGCGATTTTACTTTTGAGATCTCGCCTTTGATTCCCGATCGATTGCAGCTCAACCTGGTTCAATAATACCAGGCTATTATAGCCTGTTGGTCCAGATCACCGCCAAAGAAGATACCTCAGATGCACAAACTCTCACGACTTCTATTCCACTTGTGCAACATATCTGAGACACGCTAGTAAATTACCATGATCAACTCCACGGGCAAAACGCCAATTCTGGACCTTCGCGTTACCCAGCACATATGTATCTGCGAAGCGCCCCATGTTATTTCCACGTAGTAGCGTGCAACTTCAGGGTAGATAGTATGATCACCTCTCAGCTGCTATCTATATCTGTTCTTTCGTTTGTCCAGTCTGCCAAGGCAATCTCTACTTTGGTAGAGTTATTTCCGGCTTGCCTGGGAAACGCAACAGTGACTGCTAGCTAGTGAATACTGAAGCTCACATTTTAATGGCCCGTCTTTCATTGCTGCGGCGTCGGGATATCACATTACAATATAAACACTCGATCACTGCACCACCCCCCCATTCCTCTTACCCTTACCAAAGGCTTGTTCGCCTAGGTGCATTTTAGCTAGATCGCAGAATAGCTCCTAGATCTCGTCTCAAGGCTTTTCTTCGCTCCGTCTACTCTTAATTCATCCAATTCATCTCGTGCTCTATAACCTCTGACAATCCTCACCTCAAGCTCTCCCCTTACATCATATCCGAGCCAATCGGCCATCAACCATGCGTTGGACCCCAGAAAATGAAGAACTAGTACCGTGCCCCCTGAACAGATACCCAATCATTACATTCTCTAACCCAGGAAACACTAGCTATGGCGGACCATTTTCGAAACCCAGACTCTGACTTTAGATTTGGACAAGATTGCCGACGGCTGGCGTAAGTCCATCATTTTTACGCCCCTCATGTAAGCAAATGTCAGAAAATCATGGATGCTAACACCTACAGCCGGTGATGATAAACCCACGGCAAAGGCCCTGAAGGAGCACCTAGCCAAATATCGCAAGGGGATCAAGTCCGGTATTTCATTCAGTATGAATGGGAAGCGCCCTGCCGATGATAGCTCTGCTACACCAACCCCCAAGAAGAGACGCGCAACCAAGAATGTCAAGGAAGGGGAGGTGTCAGACGATGGGCCTACCACACCGACCCCTAAGAAGAATCGCCAGACAAAGAAGAAGGTCAAGGAGGAGGAGGTATTGGACGATTCTGGTGATGAGGCTCATATCTTGTCTGCAGCGAAGGACAAGAACTAGGGTGTCATGGCTATGGGTTATGATCCCATCTTGACCTACAGGCTGACTGTCCATAGAGGGAATTTGTTTATCCTAGTGATGTCTTTACATCGCGCCGGATGTTACTTGATCGTGGAATCACTCAATCGTATGATGCAGTGCTTTTGTCTTCCTACTTGCTGCTATCTCCGTCCGTCGGTTGAGGTCTTATCACATTGGCATTCTCTTTTACCTGTATTAAGACCAATACAAAATCCCGTCGCCCAGAGATCCATAGGAAGATGTAAATAACAACGCAGCCCCAGCACACCATCATTCCATAGGTTCATTCTTAATCTCAGGCTTGACCTTGATTTCAGCCTTTCCATCCTCATTGACGGTAGTAGTATCATCCTTCTTGACCTCTGATTTGACAGACGCAGCAGCAACTGTCTTGGTCTTCTTCTTCGCAGGGGTGGCTAGACCATCTCCCTTTCGCTTCCTTGGGGTTGTAGTCGGGGTGGAATTAGCAGTTCCACCACCAGTGCCAGTGGACGCTGCTGGGGATGCGCTGGCTGCCTGCTTCCTGAGCCTGACCATGCGCTGCTCAACGGCGCAGGAGGTGCAATCTATGTTTGTCAGTATATGTACTTCGGGTAATATAAGAAAGGGCAGGAAGTACCTCCACCCATATGCATCGCTAGTTCTTGATAGTCGAGCTTCAACTTTCCGCGCAATTGATTCAGGACACCCACGAAGAGCTTTAGATGTCAGCTTCGTATATAACCGTGGTACATAGTATGTAAGGGTAACTGGCTTACCTTGGCGTCTGCTTCTGACGACCAGATCATCTTGGTACCGCAGCTGAGTTGTAAGCTGTGGGAGAAGGGTATGAAGTAGTTCGTGATGGGTGAAGAGGTAAGGAGTAAAGCGAAGGATCCGAAGCTGTAAGCGAGGATAGACAGATCAACAGAGAGGAGTATCTGAATGGGAGAAGAAGAAATTTTGGGAGGGTAGTGTTGTGTTACGGGTCAGACTTGGTTATAAATCACACTGCTGCCAGGGCGACTGTTAAAGAAGAGAGTCTAGATGTGAAGAGCGAGAAGCAAACAAGAGATCTGGTAATGGAAACTGGTGTTAGTCGCCGTATCTGCTGAATTCGTCACTAGCTGGCCAACATCGTGGGTTCATTTTCACACTTCATTCACTTCAAGAAATTTCTTGGCCTGAGAGAGACAAATAGTATGAGATGTACATTGACATGGCTAGGTGTTAGTAGCGATTCATAGTGCGCAAAAGCAAGCCAAGGGCAGCTCTGTTATTTAAGATACCTAAGCAGCATTTCTAGACCGGACCGACTCTACATGTGTGATGGTCCTGAATTTCCAAGTTCTCAAACCATAACTACTCAATGTTATTTGAAGTCAACACAGCATGACTAATGTCAAAACAGCTCTAGTCCATGTTCCATAATGTTGTGTATCACACGAGATTTTTTCCTGGTGCCTGAACGTCTCCAACTATGCCCTGCCTCTCAGGCAGGTTCCCCGCATCATCTGACCCGATCGGGCAAGGTTCTCCTCTTTCTCCGCATTCCCCCAAGCTTTCTTTGGATTTCCAGCCTATCGGCCAATTAACAGCCATCCTTGCCCTCTGTTGATGGGCAAGCGTGAGGTTATGATGAATTCGCGGACAAAACAGTTACTGTCTTATGTGCGGTGCAGAGGTACGTCCCTTCAATCCCATTCCAAACGGTAATTGTTTACCTGCTAATGCCGTGGAAGATTGACATGTTCGCTGTAGTGAACCTTTATGGCTCGAGGATGTTAGAAAAGTGACTGGATTAACATCTAAGCGTAATAAGTAGCGGCGATACACCATGCAAATCTTGCAAAAGTACTGGAGCACCGTGCAACCGTGTCACCTCGGAGCTTCGTTTTCGACCGTCAACTCGTTCACAACAGGCATACAATCTCTAATCCGATCAGACATGGATTGGCTCTAGTAGCAGGCGTTAGTGGAGCATCTCAATGTCTATAATTCGGAATTTTCCTCTTGTGGTAACTCCCACGGGTAGGCACAACGGCCAGTGTGATTGGCAGCGCTGCAGTTTGCGCCATTATCACCAGTATGCCCGGCTTACTAGTACCTTGTATTTCTCATAGTCTTGAGTCGCTTGCCTTCTTGCAGTCTCCACTGACAAACCTCGCAGCTCACAAAGTTGGGACTCCTCATCTTCGCGGGAACGGCCGTCGCTGCCGCAACATACGCCTTTGTCCTTCCGCTGTTCTGGTACCTTTATGACCCTAAGGGTCTACGCAAATACCTAGGCTTTTCGCCTTTGTCCGGGTTGACAGACCTGCGCCATGTGTACTTGAGTGCCTGTGGGTACCGTTTCAGAGACTTATGCAAAGCTCACCAACGTGCTCCTATTCTATGTACAGGCCCCAATGCTCTGTCGCTTGACAACATCAAAGCGATTTCGGACATATACGGACACGGCACCAAATGTATTAGAGATCTCAACTATGTCATTCTCGGGGGTGCCTTGGACGCAATATATCCTATCTAGAGCAGACGGTTGTGTTGGCGTCTGTGGTGCATCGGCGTGATTTTGCGCTGCCTTCTCCGGAGTGGGACATATATCGCCATGAGGCGTTTGATTTAACATTAAGCGAGATGCCGATGAAGATCTGACAGAGGGGTATTGCAGAGTGAACCAGTTGGCTGCGAGGAAGTTGTATTTTTGGGACTGCGGTAGTACTCAGCTTGTTGCTATTCCGTGCTTGTATCATTTTGTGTTACATATTAGACGGGCTCTCATCTCCGTTAAAGTGAGCCTATCAGTGACATAATCGGGGTTTATTCATTCCGCATAGTTTCAACGTAGCAGTTGCATCGGACGGCAGTATGATGTGGCGTTGTAGAGCAAGTAGATAACCTTGTCCACCCTCCCATCTCCCATGCGGACCAGAATGAATCACATCTTATATAGACTGCATATCACTATTATCGACCCAATTTCCATGCAGACCGGGCCGAAGCCGAACCGGCAGAGGAATAACAGCCCTGGCCTTGCTGAAATCCGTCAAATCCAACAGATGCAGCTCGCTTGTCATCGACTCATAGTTATTGACCAGAGCCATAAGGTATCCGTCTCCTTCGATGGAAGACCCTGCTTTTGGAATGAAAACTGGCTCTTGCACCAGATGTGTCTGACCGGGGAAGTAGACCTCTGAGGTCCCAGTCTGCAAGTCCACGTGAGCTAGAGCATTATATAGAGGGTACCCGCCCCCGAGACGAGGCCCTATTGATTTAAAGTCCGTGCCCAGGGAAGGGTCCATGAGATCGAAGAAACAGTGATGATGCTTTCGTGTGCCAAAGCGATCGTCTATTCTGTAGAATTCGCTATTACCGGCATGTAGGATCTCGGGGTCAGGCAGTATTTCACTTGTTGTGTTCGGATCGATTGTGAATCGCATCAACTGCGATGTGATTGTGCTGGGATCTGGTGCTGATCCCTTGCTATCTGGCCACCAGAAGAATACGTTCTGTTTGCTGATACCGAGGTCGAATATGACGTGTCCATTGTGGTCTTCGTACGCGTTGAGAGTATGTCCAGGAAAGGAATTGTCCCATCGGAGCCACTGTTATAAGTCAGTGCGCTGGATGAAGAGTTGCATCGATTGGCAGCCACCTTAATGTCTTCAGACTTTGGTCCCCTTCGAGGGATGAGGCCAATATACAAAGGGGTTTCGGGACTCCATTGCCAATGTTCCCCGCCAGCCTTCAGGCGATCGATGTCGCATAGTTGGGGAATAAGCGGGAAGAGTACCTAGTGGTGTTAGACTTTTATTGCAGATCTAATCGGTTTGACACTCACCCAGTTCTCAGTCACCGCAAAGTCATGTATCATGGCACAAACAGGCGCCACAAACCAGCAAATGTCGGAGAAAGACCCATCTGGCCTGACCTGGTAGTAACAAACATCTGGTGTGCCATCACCCATTGCCTCGTAGCCGAAACAGACCATTTCGCCGGTTGCGGGGTCAAACTTGGGATGTGCCGTGAAAGTAACACTTGGAAGTTGTCCCTCAAAGTCATACAGACCTTTTGTCTCCAGGGTAAGAGGATCCATCGCATATGGTGGGGAGTCTTCCTTCAGGGCCAACAACTGCCCATTAAAGAAGATAATGTTAGTATTTGCTGTGCTGCGGATCTTGAACCGGACGGCATCCGTGAACTTATTCCGATATTTCCCTGTACCAGTTAGCAAATTCCAGTAGACATAGATTGAGAACCGGCATACCAAGAAGAGCTTTCCCTGCCTCTCTTTCGCGCACGAATTTCTCAGTACGTACGAACTTTTGTTGCCACGAAATGGTGCCATTTTTAATCCGAAAGGCGCTAACATTCCCATCGCCATTGAACCACTAGTTCTTTCAGCACATACACTTCAGCATATCAATGGGGATGTAAACACAAACCGGATCATCTTCAACGAAGGGTGGCATCTGGGGATCGGGCATTACCCGAAAGAACGTGCCGTCGATATCATTTGGAATATCTCCATAGACCTCTAGATTGTTCACCTCACCCTCAACCCGACATGGCTTCATAAAAGCCGAGAACTGCGGCCTCGCGGGAAAGTGGAGAGTCTTCGGGAGAGACATGGAACCAGTTCTGGATGGCCAGCACTCTGTATAGAGAGGGAAATATCAAAACCCGGTACTAATAGACAAACTGCTGCTTTGCTTCCGGGAAGTATTTTCTTCCATATTATCAGCAAACACGTCTGTTGAAGCGCCCTGGCTAACTTTATAGGTGGGCGAAGCATTGCCGAGCTGCGGGCTACGCACATCAGTGAAGCCGATCATGTTGACTCAGCGGAGAATCCCGACTCCGGGGAGGGGCAGCTGTTATACCAGGTTCCAGATGGATCAATAAATGAAGTCATTCCAGGGGAGAGACAAGGCAAAACAACCCGGATACTACTATTGAAGCGGGGGAGCAGGAGGGTGCGATGACTCAGCGGAATAGAAATACCTCCGAGCAGCCGGGACGGAGTGGCTTAGTCGTCATACGTATCAATTCATAGTCATACTGAGTACCGATCATCTGTAAAGACCCTGGGCATCCCCGACAAGATGAGATGTCCTCATTTTTTGACTATTGTGTCAAACTCACAAGCATGAGCTTTCAATGTGCGTCTCATGAATTCTGGACTGTAAGGGACCCACCCCACGAAAATATATATTGGGTAATGCTGCCAGTAAATGCTATTGAATGCATACGAACTAATACTACTGCATCATCAGTCAATTGCAAAAAGTAACAAGAACATCACTGAGATTGATCTGCTACCTCCCGAGAACATGACAGATATTCTTAGTACTACAGTCTACACGTTCAAGGTTCTCAGCCTTGCTAGAGTTGCTAGTACTGACCGACGGCCTACCTCAATCTGCTGACTGGCACAACCGATGAAAGAGGTGCAGGACAATATCTCAGATTTGAGCTCGACACAATCCACTTTTGATATCAGCAAGATCTACCAGTTTTCAGTATGCGATAGACTACCGGGCTACCCGAAGGCAAGTACCAGGGCGACCAGTTGTCCTAGCCACCACGGATTGGATACCAAGCATGCTAGGCAACGCCAAGGACGGATTTACTTCTTAGTCTAGGGATCAATTTCGGTAAGGCTGCTCTTATCGGCAAATCGCTGGGTTCCTATTTTCACAGGGATACTGCTCATTTCATCCGTGAGCCCAATCAACAGGATCTGACCACTCATCTTCCGAGAAGCGAGTCTATGTACATTCATCTTGCTGAAAAAGTTCCTGGCGTACGAGATGATATGCGACAACTGGGGAATATACAGAGGTCGAAACCAGTCAACTAAAAGATCGGGGTGCTGATGAACAAAAGCTCGAACCCGAATAACTCATCAAAGACAATCTGGGGGAACCCCCAACACAAACTACGCAAGCTGGTGACCCAGATGGCCGGGCAAAAGTGGCAGGCTCGTTGGGAAGAGATGATGGCATCCATCAAGACTCCATGCCTGACTTATCATTGACTCCAAGCCGGGCTCCACCACAGTGCAAATCGCGCTGTTAATTGGTGGTTGCAAGTCGGATAGACGGCAGCATTACCTCACGGGGAAGTATTGCTGCATTCGGCGAACAGCGAACAAGACATGATGATCCATCAATTGGAAAGCATTGCCAATGAAGACAAGATAAACGGTCGGTTGCTCGCCGCAAACCTCCACCGAGCTCCAATGAATGATGCTCCTCCGGATCGACACCCCAGGTGCGGGGCGGCGTCTCAATGATTGCCGGCATCGAGGCGGCTGATGAGTATTAAGTATACCCACAATTACTATCTGAACCTGTTACGTATATAAGCTGACAGAAGGCACTCTTCTGCCGTTTAGCACGCATATCTTCCATCCTTGACACTAGGAACCCTCTCAATAGCACAGAATTTACAACGACCAAGAGAGAACACCCGGAAGAGCTCGACAAGAGTTCGGCAGTCCATGATGAACATGCCGACATCAATGCGCTTGCTCTTCTATCCTCGGATGTGATGTATGACGCTGGAAAGCTCAGGGACCTCATCCACAATCCCTACGCATTCGGTGCTGCGTTCTTGGCATCATTCGGTGGTTTTTCATTTGGCCACGGTAGGTCCTTTGTCCTACTCGGCTGATCCCATGACCTACTTACACTATGACTCGATCAACATCTTCTACATCAGGGAGTCATATCGATCATTCTCGTCATGTCCCAATTCCGACAACAATTCCCTGGAATGTCCTCGATTCATGCACACTATGGCTTCAATGTGGGACTCATGACTGGGATGCTTGAATTGGGGCCCTTCATCGGTTGTCTGTTCTTTCCTGCCGTCGCCGATCGGATATCTCGAAAATGGGGATTGGGCGTTCTGGCTCCCGTTTCTCCTCCAGATAATTCCGGCCCTTGTTGTGGGCATAGGCATCCATCTATTTCCCTTCTCGCCCGGCTGGCTGGCGATGAGAGGTCGGGATCAGGACTCCCTCAGCTGTTTGGCTAAATTGCGCAGACGGTCTGCGCAAGACGAGAAGGTGCAATTCGAATGGAAAGTTATCTTATCGGAGGTCCAATTCCAGCAGGCGCTCCTCGAAAGGGAGTATTCCGACTACGCTCGTCATTCGCTCCTTGTCGGCGTTAAACAGTGGGTCGATGTCTTTCGGCGGAGTTACCTCAGGAGGACTCTTGTTGCCTTGGCCATTCCATTATTCCAGCATGTATGTGATCCACTGATTGCAGTGATCCTTCCCCATTTTTTCAGCTCCTGACCGATATGGTTTTCGTGGATCAACGCTTTCGTGTATTATGCGCCCACATTCTTCGAAGCCCTGGGACAGAGAGACAATGATTCACTGATTCTGCCAGGAATAGTCAATGTCTGTCAATTCGTCGGAGGCGTTCCAATTATGCTGTATCTTGATCGGGTGGGGCGGCGTAAACTGGCCATCTACGGTGGGATAGCCATGGCAATCCCGCATCTCGTAATGGCGGGGTAAATGAACCAATTCAGTAGCGACTGGGCTACACATCAGGCAGTTGGGTGGTTCTGTGTGGCCCTGATTTGTAAGCTCTCACCCTCAAACGTTTCTGCGCAGTAATTACTGACACGGGTGACGGACCTATATGTGCTCTCTTACAGCATCTCGTACGGGCCATTGGCATGGGTCCTCCCTGCGGAGGTGTTTCCTAGCTCCAAACGTGCCAAGGGGGTTGGTGCAGCTACGGGGATGATTTGGTTGGCCAACTCCATTATCGGGGTTGTCGTGCCGGAGATGCTTCTTAAGCTCGAATGGGGGACGTATCTCTTCCTTGGAATTTTCTGTGGGGCTGCCGCCGTATTTTCATTCTTCTTCGTTTCAGAGACATCAAACAAGTCGTTAGCGCAAGGTGCCGCGGTATTCGGTGACGAACTCATTGATGAAAAGCGGAACCTGCAAAGCCGCATTGCCGGCGAGGTGTGGCATGGCTGTGGCAGTCATGCGGAGAAGGAAGCGCGGGTGTGAGCGGGGTTACCTCGCTGGGTGGTCGTCGGGGCCAATGTTTGCAAGAGCGAGTCGTCCCAGCGAACGGGGCACCCCCTTTAAAATCCGCGGATATTGTCCATTATAGTCCCCGCCACGTACTATCCCCACCTTTTTGATCATAGGATCACAATCGCATCGTTGAGAGGTGAGAGAAGCACTAAGCAGGAGTCATATCACCGCGTGCATCCGACCAGGTTTCCCTATCCCTGCAATTTGTGGAGAGGGACAAGTGGGGGACAAAACACATGGAGACCCACTGCTTATGGAGGAATGAGTAACAGCCCATCATGCCGTCCCTCGCATCCCCGCAATAATATGTTTTCCACCCATGTCACTGCAGGGCATCGTCAATCTTTTCCATTGGTAGTAGATTGGGCAGCGCTGGTGGGTCCGGGGTATCCCCGGAATTCGATGACGGCAGGAGGGATGCCGGGGTCCTCCCACATGGTTATGAGAAAAAGACATGGGGGTATCAACTATGGCGCGGAAAGCTTGGTAGCATTTCTAAGCAAGAGTGAGTTGAAACTGACAGAAAGAAAGATTGAAAGAAAGAAAAAAGAGAGAGGGAGAGAAGAGAAAGTGGACAAGGAAGAACAAGAACAAGAATGTCTGCCATGACCGCCACACTATTCCCTTTCTGGGACCCGCACGGGATAGAACAGCCTGAAGTGACACTCTTTCCCGATGCCTCATCTCCTTCCGGAAAAAGTGTGTCAGATGGACAACAGCAGCACCGTTTTCCAATGAGCTCTCCATGAAGGCTTATATCATGATTATGTGATTGCAGGAAGAAGCGAAGAGGTCTACCCATGCTGCATACTAGTATCCGTGATTGTATAAATCATACTCGATTCATGAAAGTGCGAATCATGGGACAGAAAAAATAAGCAGTTAAACTGCCAGAGAAAGGTCTAAGGACTTATTACAAATAGAACTTTGTAGGTATAGCTAAGCCAAGCTAGTTAGTGTCCATCTTCCGATGACTCATTTAGAGGAACACGTCACAATTTTCCCGATTCCAGCTGCATACAACGGAGCCAGGAAACATCCACATCTTGGTATAGCGATGATATTCCATCCGGTCCGGTGTACTCAACGAATTCTTTTTGGTTATCCTGACGGCATTCGTTGTAAATTCGGTAACAGGTTCTTCGTTGCGCGGTAAAGCGATGTGTGGTGTCCGTATTACAGATCGAGAAATCTGCGTTTGCAAATCTATAGGTATTGCAACGCGGTGAGATGGATGATGCTGCCCGGTGGTAGAAGTAATTGGGTAGACACCATTCGGCTGCATAGTTCGCTAACGCTTGCCCAGGGAGGTACCGTGTTTGAACATGTCCCCTCTTCTGATGTCTCTGGGGTCGGATGGTAGATATCGATACCGGACGCAAAGTGTTGGTCTTGCTGGCCGACAACAGTAGGTTCGGGCCAGTCGGTGCGAAACGTTGTGGTAGAGATAGAGTTCGTTGTTAATGATAGGCGGTTTGAAAAGGGTTCGTAGGGATTATAGGAATGAGCGTGGGGGAAGCCAATCAATATGGTCGGGATCCTGAGGAGGGCGACGATGAGGCAGGCCAATGTCAAGAGGGAACACTGGGATCGCTCCATGTCTGATCAAATGTCTCAACCTGTCGGATTCAAGCAGCGTCTGTTCAACAGTCTCATTGTCGGTAACAAGGTGAGTTTCCACTTCGGATGGAGGTATTGTAAGAAGTTCAGAAAGAAGGCGAACTGTCAAGATCACCATGCCTAGGCCAGTAAGGCGGCAACCGAAGGATGGTTCTACTGAAGCGGTGTTGACTGACATGATGATGGTGATGGTGATGGTAAAGGTGGTCGACGGGCTAAGGTCGTGTTGTTAGGCGAGGAGATGGAGTAGGAGGCAAAGGAAGAAGGAGCAAGCAAGAGAAAGAAGCTGTACAGTGAATGCGACGTCATAATGTCTATTCAATTACATAGACGGGTTTATTCAATGAAGGACCCTATACTAGTACACTGCTACTCCTACTACTAGTACCCTACTTTCTATGGCGCCTCTACCCGTCAATCCATGCTTACGATAGCGATCCTGCCCCTCCGCTACACCTGAGGTATAGGCCTTTAAGGGGCATACAACGTAATTTTTTGAAACCCTCTGCATCATTACTGAGGATGTGCTCTTCTTGACTACCCCGCTCGGTCACCTTCCAACCCGATCTAGGCGGGTGATGCCTCGAACGGACTTGATGCCATCACACACCATCCGATGCCACGCCCTCGTCTCGGGGTGCTTCATCCTCCACATATCGCTACGTTTTGTCTCCACAAGTGCCGATTTTCTGGGCCGATGAGAGAGTGGGAGCACTTCCAATTTTTGGTGCGGCATGAACCGTCATCTCTAGGCCAGCGACCCGATGAATAGGGCTCGTCGACTCTCTTCCGGGGCCCGATCGCATATAATAAGCGTTGAACCTAGATCATGATGCCCAGCAGCTGATTGGCTCTGAGTAAGAACAACAGGAGACCAAGCCCACTCGGACCTACCAGGCCTCATGGATGACGCCATGCCATATTCCTGCGGTCAGACGACCGGAAAGTATAATAGCCTAAGTGCCTAAGCCAAGCCGGAGGTTGTATGGAGAAAGAGAAATCTTGAGTCGCCTCATCCACCCGCAGCTCTGCACAGTACGCCCTCTCTTTCGCCGCGTACCCTAGCCGAGGCATGTTCTTACCTACATGACGACTCATACCCTGCATTTCCCCGGATTTCCTCCACTGCAGGTGGGGACTTGCTAGAAATTGTGGGCCTCCTACAGCGGCATTTCTATCCCTCTACGCTGCCGGAAGTGGAGGAGAAGCGACGGCTCGCCTAATGTTACCCCGAAAACGCCTCTATACTCCTCCTCTTCCCATTTGCACCTCGCATGACATGGTCTAATCACACACCACTTGTATCCGTTTCCCGATGTTTATCCGCTAGTCTGGAAATCCCGCAAGTACGGGCACCGCAACTACACATTCACAATGAAACATTCAATATCACCCATGCAAATGTGAGGGGAAAGTGGCATTTAAATACCACCATGTGGCCAGTGTGCAACATGACCTGGCAGCAGTCAAGACAGCATTCCCAAAATGCACAGCATCAGTGCACTTCTCAGCTTGCTTGGGAGCCTCGCGCTCTCCAGCGCTGCTCCGTCACAGAACATCACTAGCGACACTTACTTCTATGGACAGTCTCCCGCAGTCTATCCATCTCGTACGTGGTGATTCCCCTTGTCAGGCACAGCCTTTACTAACGCCTGACCAAAGCCGAGGGAACGGGTACTGGGTCGTGGGCTTCCGCTTATGAGAAGGCTAAGGCCTTCGTCGCTCAATTGACGGACGACGAAAAGGTCAACCTCACGGCAGGAGTAAGCTCCAAGACTGGCTGCTCGGGCTTTATTGCTGAGATCCCGCGCCTCAACTTTACTGGACTCTGTGTCAGCGACGCAAGCAATGGCCTGGTACGTATGGCCTTCATACATGACTGGATACGTCTAATTTTCGCAGCGGGGAACAGACTATGTCAACGGTTGGTCTAGCGGTATTCACGTCGGTGCCAGGTAACATTTATGTCAACGAACGTCTCTACTGTTTCTAAAACTAACATACTGATACAGTTGGAATCGAACCCTTGCCCGAGACAGGGCCAAGTACATGGGGCAAGAGTTTCACCGGAAAGGTGTGAACCTTCTTCTCGGTCCTGTTGTTGGCCCTCTTGGTCGGGTGGCAGAGGGCGGCCGCAACTGGGAAGGGTTCTCGAATGACCCCTACCTCACCGGAGCACTTGTATACGAAACAGTGCAGGGGGTACAGTCCTCCGGTGTCGGTGTCTCAACGAAGGTGAGAACTAGTCATTCATTGAGCGCCCACAGTATGGCTTATGGTTCGATAGCATTACATCGGCAACGAGCAAGAGACAAACCGAAACCCGGGAACGGTTAATGGTGTTGACGTGGCTGCCGTCTCGTCTAACATCGATGACAAGACAATCCACGAGCTCTACTTGTGGCCTTTCCAGGATGCCGTCCTGGCGGGAAGCGTTGCCATTATGTGCTCATATGAGCGGATCAACAACTCTTACGCTTGCCAGAACAGCAAAACACTTAACGGACTACTGAAGACAGAGCTGGGTTTCCAAGGTGAGATTTTCCAACATGGTCTTTATACAACGGTCTCTGAATATGCTAGGCTATGTGATCACCGATTGGGGAGCCCAGCATGGTGGAATTGCCTCGGCCAATGCTGGTTTGGACATGGTGATGCCTGAAACAACGCTCTGGGGGTCCAACCTCACCACCGCCATTTCCAACGGCACGATGGAGGCATCAAGACTGGACGATATGGCGACTAGGTGAGCTTCGTAGCTTACTTTCCCAGTACGGCTATGCTAATCGAATCAGGATTATCGCAACGTGGTATCAGTTGAACCAGGATACGGACTTTCCCACTCCTGGCGTTGGTATGCCAGCAACCGCCCAGTCGGAGCACCAGGCGGTTGTTGGAACGGCCCCCGACGAGAAGAGCACGCTTTTGGAGAGCGCAATTGAGGGGCACGTCTTGGTGAAGAATACCAATAACGCTCTCCCTCTTCAAACACCCCAGCTAGTGTCTGTCTTTGGCTATGATGCCAAGGTCATTGATTCTTTCGACCTTGCTTCTACTGTTTTGGGTAATAATGCTCTCTTCCAAAATTACACTCTCTGGGTGGGCGGTGGCTCAGGATCGAACTCACCGGCATATGTCATTGCGCCACTCAATGCCATTCAACAGCAGGCCTACGAGGACGGCACATCCGTGCTGTGGGACGTCAGTGCTCAAGATCCAGAGGTGGATCCCACTTCTGAGGCATGCCTCGTCTTCATCAACAGCTATGCCACAGAAGGATATGACCGCTCCGCATTGACGGACGACTACAGCGACACCCTGGTCACAAATGTGGCAAGCAAGTGTAACAACACCATTGTCGTCGTCCACAACGCTGGCATTCGCTTGGTATACAATTGGATTGATCATGAGAATGTCACTGCCGTCGTCTTGGCACACCTACCAGGTCAGGACACCGGCCATGCCTTGGTAGACATTCTCTACGGGCGGGCCAACCCCTCGGGCAAGCTTCCATACACCATCGCCAAGCAAGCCTCGGATTATGGCTCCTTGCTGCATCCATCGGAACCACAGACGCCGTATGGCCTATTTCCCCAGTCAGACTTCTCCGAGGGAGTTTATATCGACTACCGAGCATTTGACAAGGATAACATCACCCCACAATTCGAGTTCGGGTTTGGCCTTTCGTACACCACCTTTGATTACTCGGGGCTGAGCATCGAAAAGACCAACGAGACGACCTCCGAGTATCCACCGTCGGCCACTATTCAAGAAGGAGGAAACCCTCGACTGTGGGATGAGTTGGTCACAGTGACGGCCGAGGTGCAGAACAGTGGATCAGTTGACGGGGCGGAGGTGGCCCAGTTGTATGTGGGGATACCCAATGGACCGGTCCGTCAGCTGCGTGGGTTCGACAAGGTGCTTCTCTCCGCGGGCGAGACAGCCCAGGTGAGCTTCTCGCTGAATCGGCGCGACTTGAGCACTTGGAACGTGGAAGCGCAGCAGTGGCAACTGCAGTCGGGCACGTATCAAGTGTACGTGGGACGATCGAGCCGTGATTTGCCATTGACGGGGGAGTTCTCTATCTAAGATAACAAGGATAATCATGATTTAATGTTAGCACAAATGTGAGCAGCCCGCTCGGGCGATCTAATATACTGCTGCTTATGTGTCTTCTTCCTCGGGCGAAGCTTTCCTCGGATGATCAAGCGGGGGCTCCGGGTCATTCATCTGTTGCACATTGTCTCAGCGTACCACGAGCACTTGTAAACCGAGGGATATCATCCAATTGCCCTCTTGGTGCCCTGATAACCGCCACAAAGCCCCCCTGCCGTAAGTGTAACGTAGCGCGCATCCCGGAGCGGGGTTATCACCAGTAGAAAGTGCAGCGACTAGCCAGGGTCAGCATGCCGGCATAAATACGAATGGTCGAGATTCTTCTCCCCGACAGCTGCGGGGTTGTAGCCCGGAGGTTCATGGTTGCCCTGCTGACCCTATTTATAAATCCATTTCCCCTCTTTCTCCAAGGCCATGAGGAGATATCTCTATTATGCATCGCAACAATGCCTTCTGACGCCCACCAGGACTCAACCGCTATAGGCCCCGAAATCCCTAATGGCAACAGTCTGTCGTTGGATGTCCTCATTGTAGGAGCCGGGTTCAGCGGCATCTACTGTCTACATGAATTGAGAAAGCTGGGACTCAAGACTGTCATCTTCGACGCTGCCCCAGATCTCGGAGGCACATGGCAGTGGAATCGCTATCCCGGGGCTCGCGTGGACTCCGAAGTGCCCGAATATCAATTTTCTATCCCGGAAACATGGGTCAACTGGACCTGGTCCACCAACTATCCGGCCTACGACGAGATACGCCGGTATTTCGAGCACGTGGAGACCGTTCTCGAAATCAAAAAGGATTGCTTTTTCAATACGGTCGTAATATCGGCAGAATTCAATCCCACAGCTGGACGATGGAATATCACCACGGACGATGGTCGTCACGCATCCGCCAAATACTTCATTGTCGCGACCGGATTTGCCGCCAAGCGACACGTCCCTGAATGGCCAGGCATGGACTCCTTCCGTGGAGACACCCACCACTCTGCCTCCTGGCCTGAGGATGGAGTTGACTTCCAAGGCAAGCGATGCGCCGTAATAGGCACCGGCGCGTCCGGTGTCCAACTGACTCAAGCCTTGGGCCCCGTTGCCAGCTCCCTCAAGGTGTTCCAGCGCACACCCAACCTAGCCATCCCGATGCGCAAGCGACCTCTCACCGTCGAAGAGCAAGAGCGCCTCAAAC